CCTCGAGGGGCGGCGAGGAGGTGGCGGCAGAGCCCGGCGGTGCCCACTGTTGGAGCCCCCGCTGCGACCCGCGGGTGTTGTGCTTGAAAAAGCCTCACACCCAGAAAAGTGACTCGGAAAAGTCACTTCAGCTGTAAAGGGTAGGGTTGGGGTTTTTTTTTTTGCCCCACGTTTTCCCTTCTGATCACATCATCGCTTGGGTTGGAAATGGCCTTCATGGTCGTCAGATCTAACCGTTAACCCGAGTTAACCGCTAAACCGCGTCCCAAGCACCACGTCTACATGTCTTTTAAGTATCTCCAGGGACGCTGCCTCCAGCGCTTCCCCGGGCAGCCTGTGCCATTCCTTCCCCTGAAGATCACCTCCGACGCACCAGCACAGATGTCTCCCTGTGAAGCTAAGATGGCTTAAATCTCTGTCCTGTCACTCTGTGACCAAGGACTAACACCGAGAGAATGGAAGGGCAGCGGCTGTGCATGGTTAAGTTTCCAACACGCAGCGCTCGCCAGGCTCCGGGAAGCACATGGTCTCCACAGGGCACTTGGATGCTATGTTTGGGTGGGAAAATGTGACTAGAATAGCTGTATCTTGTTTAACCAGCCACGTGATGTGAACTGCTGGCATTTCTGCTGTTGCTAGAAGGAACATTCAAAGCATGCCTCCACCATTATTTGTGCTTTCTAAAAATACCCCAAATAATCAGTGCATGCTCCAGCGATGTCTGATGGATCAGGATTCACAGGAAAAAATAAATAAATGTGAGAACATGCTTAGGATGCAGGAAAAGACAAATCCTCCCCACGTTAATGACAGCTGGTCACGCTTCTTGCAGGTCATGCTGCTCTTGTTTCCAGGCTGTGTGCAGCGCAGCCACCAGCCTCTCTGACCTTAACTGTTGTGGTAGGAACAGGCAGTAGGAAACTTTACAAAGAGGAAGCCAAGTTTTTAAGTGTGCTGCCAGTCTCCAAAGTGTTTGTGCAGACCCAGTCCGTATTACTTTGAGAGCTGGTCCAGCCTTGCAGGTGCTGGTCCATTGGACCCTGTCATGTCACTCTTAGGCATTTTAAAAGGTGTAATTACCATTCACATAAAAAAGCAAACCTTGCAGATGCCACTGAAGTGTGGTGGAGACTGTCAGAAACGGTTTTACCTTGCTGTTTTTTTTCTAGATAGTCACCATATTTAGCTGGTCGGTTAAGTCTGGGGCAGTTCCACATGTAAAAAGCTACAAATTACAGGGTCTTAGTGAACTGAAGAACAAAATAGCAACACAGTTTGTTTTATTTCAGGGCTAAACATCAGCAGAAAAGTTTCACAGGACTGGATTTCTGAGCCCCATTTCTACCTAAATTTACATGGACATGTAAATTCCTTAATTCATGTTTCCTTTAATTGAAAAACTTGTCTAAAATAAGTTTATTCTCTCCAGTTCAATAAATATCTTCCTTTAAACAGTGTGCATTCTCAAACTTAGCAAAGCATTTGCTTGACTAGTTGCTACATGCAGAGCTAGCAGTTGTTTTGCATGGGGTTTGGACTGTTTGGGACTCCAACAGCATTCCTCCTTGCAGGCTGGAGGATGGGGTCTAGCTGCATGGAGTAGGTATAGTTAATGAGTACTAACACCTGCTTGGACTATATGTTATGCAAAGTTGATCATTCTACTTATATAAATTACAGTTTCTGACCTAGGAAATTAGGGGAATACAACTTTTCATTGTGAGGTACTCTGGATTACCTAAAACCAGAATTATTTAATTTTTTTTAATTGTGCAAGGTCCCCATGCTTTGAAGTGCAAGCCTCTTATTTTGGCTTGGACACACTGCAAATACAACTAAATGAGAAGAGAAAATAATTTGTTCTGGAGTAGTTTATGAAGGACAGCAGGGCATCTACTTTTTCTTCATTTTTAACATCTTAAGGTTCTTCACACAACAAGGACTACAACTAAGCAGCCAACATGTAAAAGGATTCTAGAATTATCAAGAATATTTTTAATATTATTTTGTTCATTGAAGTAAATCACGTAACAGTGGTAGCATGCAACTTGAACACTTCCAAGGTTCAACAGCATTTACAAATGAGTAGTGGGAGACTTTCAGACCCTTCATGCCAAAAACAAGTCAGCAGGTAGGCATCCTGCAGCTAACACAGGTTAATCATTATATAAACCATATAACACCAGCTTACTTATACTGCTACCAAGCATAATGAGATGTCAAAGTCAGGACTGCAATACAGTGAAATATTTCCCAAAGAAGCCACCAAAGAGCTAGCAGATAGGCAGGCTATTTTAATGTTTGATTTTCCTGTAGAGGTGAAAGAACTAGAACTCTGAGACAACCGCTTTGTTTCTAGACACATTTCTTAAAATTAATTTATACTTGACCCAGATTTTAGCTAATTGAAATTTATCAATTTACCTTTCTTTCAAATGCATTGGAATTTGGTAAGAAAATGCAGTCACTGAGGCAGGAAAATCACATGTGGAGCCACACAGAAGAGAAAGCTTGTTAAGCTATGCAGCAATTACAACACACCCAGAACACATAAACTTACCTCCCACACTAAAAAGTCCCAGTTCTGAAACCAGATGTTGGCGTTTAAGTACTTTTCAGTATTACTCAAAATGTGAAGTATTCTTATATTAATCATTTAAGGTCACTTGAAACTTCTCTGTGCATAAAGTGGAATGAACCTGATTCACTTGATGTGGGACGGGAAGTCAAAGCAAACTGAAAAATTATTTCATAGCATCTACATCTTCCTACAAGAATGGAGTACTACAGGGAAAACAAAGGATATAAAACTATACCAACCAAAGTAATTTGATAATTATAAAAATATTCCAGCTGAGAACATAAAAATAATTACAGAATCCTGTGCAATACATTCAGCAATGTTGAGATCATCTCATGGCATTTACAGGAAATTATTTAACTAAGAGAAAACAAAAGAGCTGCCCCTGCATCACCAATGATTACACCAGTAAGCCATTTGAACTTAAATATTCAACTTATTAACAAGGTTCAGGTGAAAGGAAGGTCATTACTAAGAAAAATTTATATTTTCAAGTCTAGTGAAAACTACACATGCTAAAAATCAGCAGGGATTTCACAAATGAAAGTTCATAGATAATTAAACATAAATACCAAAGCAACATTAAATTGGAAAACAAACAAACAAAAAAACCTGAACAAAACACCATCTTCTAGGCAGTTATGGAAGTGTAATGCAAATGAGACAAGTACAGAGTCAAGATTTTTGAAGGAAACAGCCTGTGGAGCTGTTGAGGGATCTCTTTGCTGACTAACTCTGGCAACATTTTTTCTTCACAGTCCTAAGCTTAAGATCAAAGGCGGTTCCAAAGTATGAAGGGATCCTGAAGCTACATGAGGAAGAATCCACAATCCTTTAGTAAGAGCAGTTCTTTATTCCCCAAGGACCTCTTGAGAAGGCAGTAGGAAGTCAAAATATGTCTTGGCTACAATGAATATCATAGTAGAATCAGGAGCTCACCTAATTAAGAAATAAAAAACACAAATTGGATGAGCAGGCCCATATTGTGAAATAAAATCGGAGGGGATTTTTTGTTTGTTTGATCTGTACTAAGCCAGTTTGCATTATTGCACTCTCAGATTTTAGGCAGGATGCCCTACTTTCATATAAACAATACATAAGTTTTTATGTCATGTCAGACTATCATATCATTACTACAAGCTAAGATAAGCAACTACACAGAACACTACACAGAACATCTTACAAGCCACTGAACATTTTATACTTGGTCAAAATTAGAGAATTAAAGTTACCGCAGCAAGTTTCTCACTGACTAACCTTGACAGCATGGAGAAACAGCCATTGAAATACCAGCAGTTAAAACAAAAATTACATAGTTACTTCCATTAGGTACTTTTAAAAAAATTATTTTAAAAAATAAAACTTTCTGACTACTGCAAATGCTGCACCTCTATTAAAAACCACAGTATTTGAAAGGTGGTACTACAGTACTTAAAATTAAGATGTCATTTTTGTTTAAATAGAAAAACAAAGTCTGTGACTAAGCATGATCCATGGCATTTCTGTTCATGTTCACATAGTGCAATTTAGTAACTATCATTAACATTGTCTACATCAGTTAATTGTCATAAACCTCAAAAGTCATAGCCAGTATGTCTACTAGTTCTAGAGAAATTATAAGTTACTTACCATTAGGTATTTGCAAACATAAGCTGCACAAGTTCCATATGCTTGTGTATTTATGTGGTATTTATGGAGACTGGTTTAAATTCTTTTTCAAAAAACCCTACTAATCTTACACCTCATTTTTGCTGGGAATTTTTTTGCTGTAAGAATGCAACAGAACAGGAAAGGCTTCCTCCTCCCTCCTCTGCCCCCAGACAAGCTGAAAGAATGGGGTTCTTTTACACTCCATACTGATAGTGTTGTAAAAGAGTAAAGGTAAACACAACAGAAGGGGCTAAACTGTTGAACAGGAGTGACCAGGAGCAGCTGTCATGCTCCATGTCAGTTCATGTTTCGTAACTACCACTGTAACAGCCATTTCTGGCTTCTGCAAGCAAGTGTGTTACACTAGTAAGCTGCACAGCTTAATCACAGAATCATAAAATCATCAAGGCTGGAAAAGACCTTCAAGATCATCAGGTCCAACCATCAGCCCTACACCCCCGTGACCACTGAACTATCTCCTGAAGAGCCATGTCTACCCATTTTTTTAACATCTTCAGGGACGGTGCCTCCACCACCTCCCTGGGCAGCCTGTTCCAATGCCTCAGCACTCTTTCGGTGAAGAAATTTTCCCTAATATCAATCTGAACCTCTCCTGGCACAACTTGTCCCCATTTCCTCTTGTCCTCTTGTCCTCTACAACCTCCTTTCAGGTAGTTGTAGAGAGCAATGAGGTCTCCCCTCAGCCTCCTCTTCTCCAGGCTGAAAGCCCCACCTCCCTCAGCCTCTCCTCATAAGACCTGTTCTCCAGACTCCTAATCAGCCTTGTTGCCTTTCTCTGCACCCTCTCCAGCACTTCAATGTCCTTCCTACACTGCACACAGTGCTCAAGGTGTGGCCTCACTAAGGCTGAGTAGAGGGGCAGAATCACCTCTTGGTCCTACTGGTCACACTACTCCTGATGCAGGCAAGGATGGTGTTGGCCTTCGTGGCCACCTGGGCACACTGCTGGCTCATGTTCAGCTGGCT